CCCTAGTCCAAAATCCTGGCTTCGCCACTGATTTAAATATGCCCCAATCTTCTCGATTTTTTGCCAATTTCATGTGTTTAGACGTTTTCTTGAAAAAATTTCGTTTGTTTGGGCAATGGGGTACCAAGCATGACGAGCTTTCTACGCCATTTTAAATATTACATTGATTGTATCGAATCATTTGATTACAAAACACAACACTATTATAAGTTTTCGAACCATGTACGAAACCTTTTTTCAGTAGACGCAAAACTTAGAAATCTAACTAAGTAAATGAAAACAATAATCCAATAAGTATAGAGCTTTTATATTTGAAATGAATGATCAATACAATTCCTAAAATCACCAGACAAAAACCATTCTGCTCCATACTAAAGTGAAGTAGAGACAATATCGTGGTTGACAGTAAATGAAGAGATTTCTGTTGAATCAAATAATCTTTTAAAATATTTGATTCGATTCGCTTTTACAGAATTTTCATTGAAGTTTGATTAGATTAAAATTCCTTTTCATTCAACACAAATCTGAACATGAACCTGTGGAAATTTATAACTAACACCCTCAAGATACTACTTTCGAAACTATCTAGTGGCATAAATGCTTTGAGTTGATCAATTGTGGTTTCAGCGATACCATTAATTGTATACTATGAAATATAGGTGTTTCAAGGATGATCAATAAGATTAATATTGAATTAGTAATACCACCATTTAAGAAGTGCACTTTTCAAGACTAATGAAAATTTCCTAATATTTTCATTCAATTTATTCAGGCTTGAAAATTGATTTTCCTATCGAATGGGCCCTATCATCAGAAAATCAGTCTTTTTCCCACTGAAAAATAAACTAAGCGACATGCATTACCAGGTTAGTCGAAGAAAAACGCTAATGCTATAATTTGGATTCCATTTTCAACAAAGCGTAAGATGTGTCATGTGTATACTATTTGTTCCACTGGAGATAGCATGCACGGATGCATGAGCCGTGAAGAATAGATTCCGTTGCATATAGAAAGAATTTTATCATGCAATAAAAAAAATGCCAGCATACTTTTTAAAGCTTCTTTATTCTTCTAGCTTTTCATTCCATCTAGAACTAGAGGTGATACATCGATGAAAACACACCAAATCAGAATTCAATCAGTGATCTTTTGAGACTATGAAAATAATTGCTTTCGCATATGATATTGGTCTTACGCTATTTTTATACACTAAATATAAAGCCTTTTAGAGCATAAATATCAAAAAAGAAATGAAGATGATTGGCTCTGTTAAAACAGTCACACTCGTTATCTTAAAAACACCTGTATCTACTACAATGTACTACCAAATCCTCCACTTTTGAAGCATCAACCGGCTATCTATCTCCATCTCATCTCAAGAACAAACTAGCAAAATAATATCTCCAAAAATCCCGACCCTCACTAACATATGATTATTAAGATATTCGGCACTCCCGAAATTGAGGAATCAAACTAATACGACATCCGCTAAGTCTAACACGTATAATATAGTCAACCAACATTCGTCAGAAAAGAGGCCCTTAGCATTCCAAAAATTTTCCCTACTCGATCCTATCATCCAACAGATCACGAAACCTTGATCACAATGATTCTATATTCCCCTCAACTAAAATTACTACACTTTCACAGGTGCCGCCTCCACCACCTTCGTCAACGACAGCATCACCGCAACAACGGACACCACTTCCTCGACGGCAACAACGGAAATGACTGGTAACTCATCAACTACAACAACCACTGAGACTACTTCTACAACGAGTACCAGTACATCCACATCGACAACGACGAT